GCAGTAGGCGGGTCAGGAGAGATCTGCCGCGCCATGTGGATCTCCTCCAGGGCAGGCGGGAATTGAACTCATGCCGAAGTGACTTAAGCTTCTCAGTGCTGTGCCACCAGGGAGGGCCCAAAGGATTATTCTTTTAAAATATTGATAGGGATCGCCAAATTGCTCTCCAAAAAGTATCCATCAATTTATATCCTCTGAAAATGCTCCACAGTCTCACAATGAATATTGTTAATCATGCTTTGGGGATAAATGAGGAATTTTCACAATTATTATAATTTGTATTTTGATTATGTTTGATTCGGTATTTTTGGGCTATATTTATTTTTACTGTACTTTTACTCCCAATTTGCTACTGGGAGAAACTTATATATCTTAATCACAGAGAAAAGTTTAAATTTTATCAAATCAATTCTTGGCAACTTCCTTTATAAATATATATTTTTTGCTTGTTTCTTGCACAAATGGTCCTTCTCCAATGCAATATTTTAAATTATTACCTAATTTTTTAATTTTATATTTTTGTTTCAACACCTTAGGTCTTAAATCCAGTTATTTTTGTTTATGGCATAAAATAGGTGTAAAGCTATGCTTTTCAAGAATGATTACCAGATACTAACATCATTTTCCTGCTAATATGAAATCCATATTTAATAGTCTAAAGTATCATTTGAAATTAGATCAATTGCTACCTTCTAATTGTTTTTCTGATCTCTCTCACCTTGCAAAAACAATATAGTGTTCTAATTTTTATAATTTCATACAACATTAATGTTGGGTTTTGATTTGTTTGTTTGTTTGTTTTATTTCTCCTTAGAACTAGGTCAGAAATTCCTAAAAAAATCATGGCATGTTAGGGGCATTGTGTGTGTGTCTGTGTGTTGTTAGTAATAGGTACATTTGTGTGTCTTAAACTTTTACATTCATGTATGTGTAAAACCATCATTTCATGTGGCTTTGGATAGAGTATATATATACATATGTATATATGTATGTATGTTCAGTCTGCCATCTTGATCCAGTTTACCTTGATTCTGGCTAGGTGAATGTGTGTAGTAGTTTTGAATTGCACCCAAACTCACAACTCTTTTTTTTTTTTTTTACAGATTTTATTTATTTATGCATAAAAGAGCTTGGGTACAAGCCAGAGGTATGGGGAGGGGGGTGAGAGAATTCACCAGAGACAGAGTGGAGAGCAGAACAGGCAGATTGAATGAAATATACTGCTGAGGGGAGCAGTGGGTGGGTCAGAAGAAGTCTGACACTCCATGTGGGTCACTCCCCTGGCTGGGGATTGAACTCGTGCTGTAGTGGCTGTAGATAGCTCCTTAATGCTGTGCTTTAACCCATTGCCCCACCAGGGAGGGCCTAAACTCACAACTCTTAAGGGCAGTATTCTCTATGTACATATGTAAATATGAACATGTATGTTATCGAGGTATAAGCTTTTGCAGGCTAACAAGAAGACTCTGGGGTAAATACATGCTTCTTATTTGCCTTCTTGATCCTGTCACTACAGTGATATCAGAAACCTAAAATCTGCTTTGGCACCCATTATGCCTTGTATATGTTCTTCCATAATCAAGTGTCACTGAGAGTACTTTGAATGTTTCCCCCATAAACTTTATTTTGACACTTGCCATACTTTCTTATGTGACAGAAGAAGAATGCCTCAGATGCATTATTATTATTCTCTTCTTGCAAATAGCCAGCATATATGTTTTGAGGAAAAAAAATCAAATGAGGGAAACTGTAAAAGAACAAGTGACTTAGTTAACTGCTGAAAACCTCTGATCTTATATTTTTTAGATGTATTCACGACACAAAATCCAAATGGCTCTGATTCTGAAATAACTGTGACTGCAACAACTGATCTGAAAATTGCTCTAAAAAACTGTAAGTACCAAATGCACTGTGGCAACTATCCAAGGCCCTTAAAGTAAGATTCCAAGCTCTTGAGAGTATCAGACAGGAAAAGGTCTTAGTGGAGCTAATGTCAAAAATTCATAGTTCCCAAATAAGACTGAAAATTCACTCTGTGAAGCATATTTTATGACTCTCAGATCCAACTGAGTTCTGGATAATTCCCTAGGTTTTGGTTCACACTTCCTTTGACACCAATACACTTGAGATTCCACAGCAACTGCACCAGCGGGTTCAGAAGGAATAGAGTTCTTATATTCCTTAGCCTCATAGTTTAGGTTTGTATGGAAAGAAACGTTAACAACTAAATTTACAACTCTAGGAAATTGCATGTCTTTTCTAATTCCATTCTTTTACTTTTTCTGCTTTATACCTTCAGCTTTAAATGTTGTTCTTTCCTTTTTGCTTCTCTCCACCACACATAACTATTTGGTAGATAAAGCTGTTGCCAGCATGTGATTTGGTGACCACTGAAATTGTCTCTAAAGTACAGACAATGTGCCACACTTTTTTTGCTTTAAAAGTGTACCTATGAAACAAGTAACCATAAAACAGAACAAGGAAAAGAGGATGAAATAAATACACAGGAAAGAAAGAATGTTTCTTCCTATAGTAATTTTAATTTGGGGGGGAAACCAGATTTAGTGGTGCCTAATTATTTAAAAAAATTACATGATAGTAATGGAATATATTGAGCAATTCCAAACCTTGGACTTAAATCATATTGTTCATGAGACATATCACTTTGGGAATTTTACTTATATACAACAAACATAATTTTGAGCTGTTTGGTAGAAGACCCCAGAGAGCCAGCCCTTAGATGAGGTACCTCAAATTTCCTTCAGAGATGGATTATTAAGAACTCCAGAGCTCATGGAAGAGATTCCAAAACCCTAACTCTATTCCCATAATTCAGGGAACCAGAATTTTGTCAGAAAATATTAGGTTGGGACAAGAAACTGTTTCCATGTAAAAGGATTCTGTGAGAGGGACACATGCTGAGTGGTACAGACATCCTAGAGGAGCAAGGCTCTCAATGCAATGGAAGCTTCTGGATAATTCTGCCTAGTGATTCTTTTAGGCACAGTCCCTACGATTCAGAGGACAAAGGTAGTAGCTGAGAAAATTCAGCTATATCCTAAGATATAGAGGATGAGGGCTGCACAGCAGAGTTTAAGTTTTACATACTGATTGTTCAAGTCCTGTCCAGTCAGTGTCACATCCATCCTCTCATGCCAACAGGTTGCCTGGAATAGTACTGTTTGTAGACTCAGTCTGAATTTATTCTGCCTCTCTGTAGGACTCCTCCTTAAGTAGAATTTCCGTACTTTGTTCAGAATTTTACTGACTTCTGTATTAATACAGCAATTTGAACTTCATGGGGTAGGGGGTGGAGGAGTGGGGGGATTGTCCTCCAGTCACAATTGTTCCCTCACACACTCTTTGAAATGCTTCCTTATGGTCATGTCATTGACTGAAATTGATAGTAAATCCGGCAGGGAAAACTCTGGCTGATTGGCTCAAATTGTTATTTTCCCAACTCTGTTTTGAATAGGTAACACACCTACACTTCCAACCCATGAGGAAGGGGAGGCGCCTCCCTCTATCTGTCATCACACTGAGCAGCAACTGAGCTGACTGAGGCTGGTGCTACTTCAAGGCCTATACACCGAAGCCCGAGGGCCAATGTATCTCCCCCACAGATCTTCCTAATCTTTATAGGAATCTTTGTACCTAATGCTCCCAGTTTCTCTTCTTTCCAAATGTAGGTAACTTAACCCCATCATAGGCAACCTTTGTCTCACAATCTTTATTCCTCAAATACCTTCTTCACTCCCTGGTCTTCAGTCATCTCAGGTAAATGTCAACATCTTTCTCTTTGGTTTTTTTCTTTCCTGTTTGTTCCATTTTTAGCTTAAAAATATGCCTAGCTGCAAATGTTGTGTTGACATTTTTATATGCTGATACTCCATTATCCCTTTTCCTAGATAAAGCCAGAAAAGGAACTACCGGAAACGCCAACGAAGATACTGATAAACAACCCTTTGCAAAAAAAAACCAAAGTATTAAAATTTTTACACTGTATTCATTTCTGGAGCATATCATTGTATGACTTAAAAATTTGTTTTACTGATCTCAGTATTACATAAATTAATAGTGTGCTTAAAGAATTTATAGTGCTACGATTTAAAGTCACTCTAAAGTCTTTTAAGTGGTGGAAATCTAGGAGCCATTTTCCAGATATCCATGACAAGAGCTTTTAAAAATATAAGTTTATTTTAATAAAATTTATTTATGTCAGATATGTACATCTATGGATCAATATAAATTTATATTCTAAAATGTACCTAATAAATCTTAATATAATTTTAAAATAACACAAAAATTTCTACTTGCTCAAAGAATAAACTGATCTCCTCACAGTCAATTATTAGTGTTTCCTAAGATTATTGTGGTGGGATGTTTGGGAGTGAGAGATGGCAAAATCTAAATGACCCCTTTGTTTTCTTAAGAATATTGTTCCCTATAAAAATTTGTGAAATCATAGCAACTCAGGATGGCTCTCCTTTAAGGTCTTGAATGAGTGGCCTAATGGAAGACAATGGACCTGCCATTGTATGAAACCCTATATTCTCCAGTTCAAGAAATCCAAGTATGTTCCTATGATGATTACTCTGAATACATTTGTACCTTTAATAGGACTAAAAACAAACACCCATAACTCCTTTTGGATCTATTTAAAAATAGCAACCTGATCTTCTGGGCATCCCCTTTCTTCAATAACTTTAGCTACTTACACCTAGATTCAGGGTCATGTTTTAATAACCAGACATTCAGGTCTGAAAGGATCTGGCCAGGGAAGAACATTTCCATTCTCATCTCTTCCTCACCACATTCTTCACTCCAGACCTCCTGAAGCTTCCAGACCCTGTTCACAATTGAGTTTCCTCCTGGTGAAATAATCTGTCCTTTGCCTTGTTTGTCTGACAATTTCTTTATCCTTCCAAACCGACCCTGCAGTGTCAACACCAGCCGCATAATACCTATCCCTTTCTACCCAGATTCTCACCATCCTGCAACACAATCGACAGTGATTTTGGCCTTCCAAATTGAGAGTGTGTTCCTTGAGTATCTGAACTAGAATTGATTCATTTATATGACTTTAGTGTCAGCCACAGGGTTGGCATATGGTAAGAGCTCAAGGTAAACTGTTAAAGAACTAACTAATAAATGATGAATATTCTAGCACAAATCTACTAAAACCAAATCACCTTATTTTATCTCTTCTATTTTGTCTTAAACAGAACCAACCAAGGGTCCAAATGAGCCTGATTTTTGGACAATGTTAGCTAAAGGTAAACTTATAGTAGTGAGGCCGCTGGGGAAATGTTTTGGTTTTCTAAAGCTATATGTAAGAAAACCCAAATCATGGAAAATAGTTCTAGTAAGAATGAATCAGTCAGCGTTCCTACCATCATCACATGTGCAAAACCAAAAGCTAGCCAAGTGTCAAATATCTTGATTCTCCCCTCAAAATTTTTATATTCATATAAATATTGTGATGGAGTCATTTAATTTTATGCTTGATAATTTTTAATAAGGCTCTTGTTCATATAAATATTGTGATGGAGTCATTTAATTTTATGCTGAATAATTTATAATAAGGCCATTGTCCAGTATTATCCCCATCAGTCTGTATCTGAACATAAACAGACAAGCTGCATGACTAAATGCAAAGTATATATCAAAAGAAATGCATGCAAAAAGTAACATATATGTCAAAAATATCTAAAACTACATGTAGTGTGCAACCATATGTATGCATATACACATGTAGTCTATATATCCTATATAGGCACACATATAAATGTAAGCCATGTATCACACAAATGTATGCAAGCGTTATAAATGTGAGGTATGTACCATATTCAGTTGATGTTCATTTGCATCAACTGAATTTACCTACATGCTAAAATTTAACCTGACTGCCATCTTCTTCTCTGCTCTCATACTACAAAGAAAAAAAAAAAACTTTCTGCAGTCTACTTGGTGCTATGTGTTTTGTATGCTTGTGCTTTCCGTGGGTGATTTTTCTGTTTAAATGGCCCCTAAGGGTGGCATGAAAGTACTGACTAGTGTTCTAAAACACAAGAAAGTTGTGATGAGCCTAATGGTGAAAATACATGTGTTAGATAAGATATGGTTAAGGTCTGCTGACCAGGAATGAATCAGCAAAATACACTCTAAAGTATCTTTAAGCAGAAAAAACATATAAAACAAGATTATATTTTGATTGGTTGATAAAAATGTTGTGACTGAGACTCATAGGTCCCACCTAATTTTCTATATATCCCCTAGAAGGAACCATTCAGTATTTACCAATTCATTATTTGTGGTACCTTTATAGACTAAGACTGCCATGAGCAATGTGTGTACATAATACACACATATACACACAGCCAATAATTTTAGTAAATGGATTTTCTTTACCATAATGCCAATTTGTTATTTTAACAGTTTTAAATGGAACAGCCACGAAGAGTGCAGATGGAAAAGATGAATTATTTAAACCAATTCCAGGTAAGAACAAACTACTTCATTTAAAGGGATACATAAATATTTGCACATTTTAGTTTCTGCATGACGAGTTTTCCCTCATTAGGCAGAGTGCAGTGTCAGGTCAGAAAAAAAAAACATTTTTGTTTAAAAAAAATTTATGGCTCCTAAACATTGTTCTCCAGTTGCCATATTTCAGATGTCAAGTTCCACCTGCCTATTTTGTGAACTCCTGAAACAGATAAATCAATGGAGGACTGGGCAAGTGAATAATATATTGAAGGTGGTGTTTTAAAATGCAAAGACTATTTTAAGAACAACTTTAGGCTTACAGAAAAATTCTCTAGTAAGTACAGAGAGCTCTCATATATTCCCCTTGCTCAGTTTCTCCTTGTATTGCTGTGAACATCTTACATTGGTGTGAGATATTTCTCACAATTTATGAAACAATCTCAGTACACTATTAACTAAAGTCTATAGTTTACATTAAGATCTGCTCTTTGTGTTGTACAATTCTTCAGGTTTTAACAAATGCACAAATGGTCATGTGTCCATCAATACAATCATACAGTAGAATTTCACTGCCCTGAAAGTGTCCTGCACTCCACCTATCCGTCCTTCTCTTTCCCTCCAATTCCACTAACTACTGGTGTTGTAATTGTCTCTGTAGCTTCACCTTTTCCAACTATCATGTAGTTGGAAACATTCAGTGTGTGACCTTTTCAGATTGACTTTACTTAATAAAACACAGTTAAGATTTCTCCAAATCTTTTGATGCTTGATAGTTTCTTTTTATCATCAAGTAACTCTGCATTGCATGCAAATACTGGTTTGTCTCTCCATTCACTTATTGAATGATTGCTTCCAACTTTTTGGCAATTATGAATAAAGCTGCTATAAACATTCATGTGTAGGTTTTTGTGTGGGCATAAGTTCTTAAGTCTTTTGGGTAAGTACCAACGATCCTGATTGCTGGTTTCTATGTACAATTATGATTAGCTTTGTTAAGAGACTACCAAACTGTCTTCCCAACTGGCTACAACATATTGCATTCCCACAGCAGTAGAGGAGAGGGTTTCTTGCTGCTGAATGCAGTGGCTTTTATTAATAGATTTCATGATTTTTTAGTATAAAACTCTTGATTTGAATGAGATGTCATAATAAGGTAATATATTAATTTCCCTAAAACCTCTGTCCTATAAATAAACCACTCCTGTAGAAGAAATAAAGTCTAGTGATAGCCCTGAGGCCTGTTACCTAAATTCTACATGAGGGCATGAACAGTCATTCACTTTGCATTGGGTCAAGAGAATGGAGTGAATCTTTGTTTAGAAAAGTTATATATGTGAATGACAACTGTTGAGACACTTGAAAAATATTTTGTCTTTTCAAGTAATTAAGTGTATTGATTTTTTCTATAATGTGTTACATATATACTACCTGCCTGATGCTTTATAGACGTGTCATGTCAGTTCTCAGTCACTCTGAAAATGAAGTTGGTATTATCTCCATTTTATAGATAAGGAAACCTAGGCTTAGAGAGAGGCATTGCCCAAACTTGCAATTTGTTTTTCCATACTTCTGGCAGTTAAGAGTAGTCACTATCACCTTGATTTTATTTAAAAGGCACTGAACCCACACCTCTTCACAAAAAATCTTTTAAGGAATTGCAAAGCAGTTCAGGAGTACAATTCATTTTTGTTTGATTATTCCCAAAATAATCTGCCTCAAAGACATACAAACCATTGGCAGCTGTACTCATTTCACCCCACTTGGTTGAAGATTACATTTTGAAAGTTACAATTTTTCAAAATCAAAGAATATAGACATGGGAGCGTATCATTATTTATTACCAAAACACCATTACCTAGAAAGCATGGAAATGCTTGGGCCTTTTGAGTGGGAGCAAGTGAGGGAAAGAGGAGCGATATCACCATGGTTATTTAAGCACATCACTTAGGAAAATACACAATTAGGTAGCAAAGCTATATCTTTCTTAATTGATTTAGTAAAAGGACTTCTGACATTTCTGGATTCAGACATAATTTTATTATTTTAATAATTCAAAGAAGTTTCCATTTCTTTTTCTTTCTTTCTTTCTTTCTTTCTTTCTTTCTTTCTTTCTTTCTTTCTTTCTTTCTTTCTTTCTTATTTTTTTAGTGTCAAGTACCTTAGATTTGATCTCAGTAATACCAAATTCAGTTCTTAAACCTCATGGAGGAGAAGCAATACATGACTCAACAGAAGTACTGTATCTTTCTCGCACGAGAGACTAGTCCTTGCATATAAGTTCATTAATTATTTTTAACAATAATCTCTCTAAATCATTAGTTATTTTTAACAGTAATCTCTCCAAATTACTGGTTTTCTCAGCTGGCTTTTATTAGCCAGGTAGGAATTCTGCTTCATACAGAGTTTAACATTGATAAAACTGACTTTGACATTGGCTAGCTATAAGTCATGAGCAAATTTATAAATTTCTGTGATCCTATAAAATGCAACTAAGAACAGCTCCTCTGGTTGCTGTGGAGGTTGAAGGGGGAAAGTTAAAAGTACTTGGCCACTGGGATCAGCCTGTTATCTTGCCTGAGGTGATGAGGGTAGAACGGAGTGAGCGCTGAATACCTGGGTATGAAAGGCTTCCCTACAAAGCTTTGCAACCCTTACTCCTCCAGAAAGAAAAAAAAAAGTGGGATGCAGTTGCCCTTTTGCATTGTATTTCCTTTCTTTCCTCTCAGCATCTGATATATCTGCTACAACTCCAGGAAACCTGGAAGAGCTGGAGAGTATCAAGTTAAAATTAATGCTGGGCATCTCACTGATGACCCTCTTACTTTTTGTCATCCTCCTGGCTTTGTGTAGTACCATGATGTTCAAACTGAAGACACAGGTGCCTAAGTAAGTCTGCAGACTTGAGCCTTTGCAATACGCACAGTGTATCTCTTCTCTTTAGATTGTTAAGGAAATGTGACACCTAAATTTATCTCTCAGTTTTTTGTTTTGGTTCCATTTTCCCAGACTCTATTCAGAAAGGCGCCTAGGACTGTCTTTCAGGAATATACTACTTGAATATTTCTCTCAATATTTAAAATAGTTATCTGGAGATAACAATAATCCTAGTTAATGGCAAAAACTCTAGACACACATACATCCTTTGATGCCTTGCAGCAAAAGGACTATGATTCTGTTCTAAATAGCGCACGTGCTAAGGATCTAACAATTTTAATTTATACTACACCATTAGTATAACCAAAACTTCACAGAATTCAAAAGCAACTGTTGTGATGCTTTTCTGAGTTGAGCAGCCAAAGCACACAAAGACAATTCTTTTTTAAAAAAAATAATTTATTTTTACATCATTCTTCATTTTGTGCCTTTTTTTTTAAATCTCGGTTGTAATCCCCATGGACTTCCCACTCCCAATTCACCCGTGCACCATCACCATAGTCCCATGCACCTTTCCCACCCCATTTTTTTTAAAGATTTATTTATTTATGCATACAGAACTGAAGGGTACAGGCCAGAGGTGCAGGGGCTGTGAGAGGCTTCACCAGAGACAGAGCGGGGAGCAGAACAGGCAGATCAAGGAAGTACACTGCTGAGGGGAACAGCGGGCGGGTCAGGAGAGGTCTGCCTCGCCATGTGGTCACCTCTGGGGCAGGCGGGAATCGAACTCATGCGGAAGTGGCTTTAGATTCTCAGTGCTGTGCTTTAACCCGCTGCGCCACCAGGGAGGGCCTCCCACCCCATTTTTGATCCATTCTCCACTCCACCCCCATAAAATGTACAAAGACAATTCTTAATCTATGGTTTTCGTTTTCAGATTGAAGCAACCACCCCCAGAAGTCAGCTATGCCATCAACCCTGAGCTGGCCACTTTATCTTACTTTCAACCTTCAGAAGGCATATCAGACACGTCTTTTTCTAAGAGTGGGGAGAGCAGCACATATTGGGGCACCACTTCTTCAGAAATGAAAAAATCAGGAGAGTCAAAATCCAGAACGACAGATGCGCTCTCCACAGCCTCAGATGACACAGGCATGGCTTACCAGTCAGACTACCCTCAGGACACAGGCATGGCTGACCAGTCAGACTACCCTCAGGACACAGGCATGAGTGATCAGTCAGACTTACCTCAGAAAAAAGGCAAGATTAATGAGTCAAACTTACCTGAGGACACAGACATGATTGATGATGAGGAACTGACTGAGGAATTTCCCAGTGATGAGTAGACAACTTTTTAGTGGGGGCTCGTAAAAAAGAAATCTTACCATGTGATTCACATTAATTTCATGATTTGGAAACTTTGCTAATACATTAAAATTTTTCTGGTGTCTTAAGAGGAGGATATATGCAATAAAATTCTCTCAGCTGTAATCAGTATTTAATGGGAAAATACAAGGAATAATTTAAAGAATAGAAAACTCACCAAGAAAAAATAACGCTGAAAGTGATTTATAAAAAATATCCACTTTAGGCTGGTTTTATTTTTATTGAACCAACTGGCTTGTAACATTCTATAGGTTTTGATGCAACGTGAAATAAGTCAGAGAAAGACAAATACTATATGATTTCACTCATGTGAAAGGAAATGAAATGATCAAATAAAACACATTTACAGAGTGTTGGTTTTTAAGTGGGGATATTTGGAGAGTTAATCTACATTGGAGCAACTTGAGAGATTTCAGGGTAATCACCACACTCTACCCTCCTTCCCAACACCAAAGCAAAAGGAAGACACCTGCCTGTGTTTTACTGGCAAACCAGTGGTGCCCTGACAAAAAAAGAAATGAAATTAGTCTTAGAGATGCCTAGTATTCTGTAGTATTTAAAAGTCAACAAGACTGTTCTCACAGGAAAAACAGTAAAACATCCTACCCTCCCCCTTCTGAAGTATCTGTAACATTTGTGAAACCAGATGTTCCAGAAAAAAGAAAAAGGAAGTGGGAATTAATTCATGGACCAAGAGTCTTTTAGAGCTGAAGGGCTCTCCTTCCTTTCTTCCCCCAAGTATCCAGGTTCACTATGTTCTATTGGAAGAAAAGCAAAGAATCTGAAAGACTATTTCAAGTTAATGGTGACTTATAAGGGTATCTATCCCAGGTGTATTTCAGTTTCTAATGAAGTCAAGTGTACCACTTTTGGGAATTAGTTTCAACTGGAAAAAAAGTTAAGATTTTTATTTATGCATGTAAGAACTGGGGCACAGAGCAAAGGTGTAGGAGATGAGAGGATTCACCAAAGGCAGGGTGGAGATCAGCACAAGTGGACCAACTGAAATACACTGCTGAAGGGAGCAGTGGGCTAGGCAAGAGAGGTCTGCCACACTGTGGGAGTCACCTCCCTGGCTAGGGATCGAACTCCTGCAGCTGTGGCTTTGGATAGCTTCATAGTGCTAACCTTTGCACCACCAGATGGAACAATGCATAGGATCTTTTCTGGATATATGTGAACATTCATGCCTTCCTAAATTTTCACTTTTATGCCAGAAACGTTACATTATATCACATTGAATTCTACTCTCCTTTATATAGGGCTAGTTTACATCTGTGTATCAAGAAAGGAAAACCCAGGTAAGTCAGATGCCTAAAATCATCTGCGAGCAAGGGAGAAAGCAAAGATCTGCTCCCAAACTGGTCTTCTCCATGACCCATGAAAGTTAATAGTCATTCATAGAATGATGACATTGTCTAGGAGCTAGCGAGGCCCTGGATCCAGAAGGCAGCCAGTTCCTTAACTCAAAATTCTTTCAACTCGTAGGAAAGTCTTTTCCCTATCTCTAGCTTAGACCTCTATGAAGCTTCTTCCCCAAGAAAGTCAGACTCACGCCTTGCACTGACTGGCCACTTCACCTCCATGGATTTCCAGGGCTGTTCACTTACAGGGCTATTCACTCTTATTGTACTTCCTAGATACCAGCCCCTACTTTATTACTGGTTGGAAACTATGAAGCTTCACCTTTGAGTAGCTAAGGACTATGTAAGTCTGTACCCTTGAAGGACAAAAACAAACAAAAAACTCCAAAACACAGGGGCTCATGTCTGCCTGAGCTTGCACTGTTTCTACACTTATGGGGGTGACTGTGCACAACAGCCACAGCACCTACCCCCTGCAGTTACCTTTTCTATGTCCCATGCCCTTTCGACAGCCCTACTGGTTGTCAGTACTTGTTTTGCCATTTCAGGCACCAGGAAATTCTGTGGGAACTGAGGCAGGTGGTTGCAGCTGCTTAAGAGAAAGGGCTTATTGGAAGAATGTTCAGGTGAGCTTGGGGAGGGGTTGACCACCAACCATTCCCACCTCTTATCTCCACCCACTCTTAGGAGGTGCCAGCAATATTCTTGATTATTAAGAGTCTAAATAAATCGAGTGAATAAAATCATAGAACTTGCTTCTAGTATTATTAAAGTGCTGTGGAGTGAGAAAATTATAGCACTATTCTAGCAGAGTGACCACAGAGATGTTAACTGTTTTTTAAGATTGGCTTATCATTCTCAGTTGATACAGTTTGTAGAAACCATGGTAAAGAGCAAAGTATTGGTGTGGTGGGGACACGAACACCAGCTACTCTTTCTTGTGTCTACTTTCAACTGTCTCTCAGTCTAGAAGTGAGGGGCAGGCCACACAAACCAGACTGGGGTGCTGGGGCGGTCTTCCATTCTTCCCGTTGCCCTTCATTTCCTGAGCAGGTTTCCTGGACTTCTAACCTCCTTCCCCAGAAAGGACATAGTAAAGCTAGTTCCTTTAAAACTGTTTTTCCTCCTTTCTCACACACCCAATTTCTTTTCTCTGATGCCCGTAACTGCCTCTTTCCCACCCCCCAAAAGGTGACTTCAATGTTTTCTTCTGCCTTAACGTTCCTATAGAGTGGTGGTTATGGGCACCAGAAAACCGAGCTGGTGGGGGGACTAAATTGTTCTAAAGTCCCCATGAATAAATTTCAGCAGCATCACATAACAATCCGGAACCTTAAGTGCTAGTCCTCACTTCTTCCCTCTGGCAGAGAGTGTTTTTCAGATATGCCGAACACTGCTATGGAGACACACGTCCTATAAGGAAGTTTGGTCTTGGTCCTTTCGGGAAGTCACGCAGTTCCTGAAATTCAGGGAGGGAGTTGTCCAGCCACCCTGGAGAAGAGGGTGTGCAGAAAACATCTCAGTGGGGAGGGGGCACCACCCCACCAGAACTCAGAGCTCTGTTTTGGCCCTACAGGGATGGCCCAAGGCGGCTGGTGGATGGGGTCAACATCACGTGATCGGGATGGGCGGGGCTTGCTGGGGGCGGGCGGTCTGAGCCCAGAAGTGCGGGATTTTGAAAAGGCGCACACAGGTTAGTTGGCGCTAAGGTGCATCTTCCTTGGCTTTCCTGCTTTATTCTCTTTCCCTGCCACTCATCTCCAACGTAGAATTTTTATGAGGTTTTCTCTGCTCTGGCAAAAGACGGTAAGCTGGGATCGGGGTTGGGCAAAGTAGCTATAAATCTAGAACAGTTCTCGCTCTTTTATTTTTTTAAATATATATTTTTAATTTATGCATACAAGAATTGGGTCACAGGCCAGAGTTGTAGCTGGGGGTGGGGAAGTGAGAGGATTCACCACCAGAGACAGAGTGGGGAGCAGAACTGGAGCAGTTCTCAATCTCCTCCTGCCTAAAACCAAGATTGTAAGAGCGTCTTCATATGTCAAAATTTACCCTCCAAATCTAGCTTGGGGTTTGGGGTAGGTGTCAGTGCACTGATATGTTGCCACCACTGCTCAAACCTCTTAAGCACACAGTTCTAAAATAATTCGAAATGATTTCCAGAAATTGGAAACTGAAATAAAAAACTCTGACGATACGATCTAGCTTCTGATAGAGAAGAACTTAAACTTTGAATATGGAGGGAAAGTATATTTTTTTCAGTTGCACTCCCAAAGTAAGAGCCAGTTTTGAATTATGGAAACCGTATGAAGCCCAGGTTATGTCAAATGCAATTCTAGCTTATTGTCCAGAGTTTGTTACTTCCTTCCAACTTTATTTAAATAGAAATTCAACCCAGGCATTTTATGTTTGAATTCTAGGATTTCTCAAATATGTGTGCCTGTTCTTTGCCTTCTCGCTCCATCGACGTGCTATAGGCACATTGTTCTGGATTTCAATAGAGCTGATTTCTTAACCAAAAGCAAAGGTAAGTTGAAAGGCTTCTGAGCCAAGACAAAGCTCATTGTGTAAAGAGGAAGCATGTGTGTGTTATTAAAGCGCATAGGTTATCTAAAATAAACAGCATTTTAAACAACATGATTTGGACTACATGTCAGATTTGAAAACTCTTGTTTGGGAGAGGGGAGAAGTTGTAAGTTAACCCATAACTGATACAGGAAAGTGTGTCTTGGAAAGGCGAGAGGAGTTGTGATTTTCATAGTAAAAAGCTGCCAGGTGCTGTGAAGAATCGCTGCTGCCTTAGCTCTTCTCTCTGTTTCCTCGGGAATGTGCCCAGCCGCTCTGGGTTTTGTCTTGATTATTTGAAGATTTTTTGTTGTTGTTGTTGTTGATTGGAGTGTGGTTCTACTTATGTTTGAGGTGTTCTGCTGAATATCAGAGACCTTATTAAGAATGTGGAGACCGACTAAATTAAGGAAAGATGAATAATTTCACTTATGACAGGAGTCATGATGATAGATGAGACTGCATATACTTGTGTGTAAGTGGCTTTCAGCTATTTGAACTGTTTCCAAATTGTCAGTCACTGGTAAATAATAAGGTGATTAATGTATATTCAAACTATGCCACATTTGACAGTTTAGTGATTACACCTTACCCTTGCCTGTCGCGCTGATGTATAGTCACTGTTTCAGGTAAATAAGACACGAGTGACCCTCAACCACTCATTGGAATGAACTAAACTAAACATTCAAAAATTATTAAAAAGTGAGCGTTATTGACTTCTCATTTTCCTTAGAAGACCTGATCAATTAGGAAACAATACTCTGTTTAAAAGAATTAATGGCCCTTCGTTAACAAGTATTTATTTGTCCAGGATATTCTGGAGTATGCATTTCAGCTTAAGTGATTTTTAAAGATAAAACTCATCTGCCATTGATAACACTAGGCACAACTGTGGATTCCAGTCACCATGGTCTGCCAAGTGTTGAGTGGCACTGCCCACTATGAGGAAGAATAACCCGGTACTATTGCCCTGGGGTTGGCAAACATCAGGGGTCTCCTATGTGCATCATGAGAGTGGTGGTTTGTAA